TCGCAGGATCTTAAAACAAGTAGCAAAGGTAAGCAGAGGTTTCTGGTTTGGTTGGCTTTTTTGTTTTTTTAATTTCTTTTCCTTTAGAAAATGTTTCAAGTTGAGGCTGTGGGTAGAGTTTTACGTTTTAGAAAGAAATGATGAATGGCACGGTCTGTGCTGAATGTGGACTGAAATCTCATAAGTTAAAATGAGCAATGTTTGTTTTCTATAGGCAGTGTCCGTAGACAAGGAGATGTGGAACGTGACTTAGGATCATGGGACGGGTAGCATATTTGTGTTTGAGTGACTGTGTTATTGTGAATTGAACCCAAGGCCTGGTGCATACTAGACAAGTGCTCTAACCACTGAGCTACACACTCCCAGTCCCTCAAGGAACTAATTGTGAGAAACACATATGAAGCAAAATGGATTCCCATAAGCTGAATGTGTAGAGGGCCTGTATGTACCACACTGTATTTTTTAAATACATCATGACATCCCTCTCACTGCCACATTCAATAACACCTCCCCAAATGGTAGTCTATCTATAGCATCCTAGGAACGAGATGAAAAATGGACTACACATTCTATTTTAAGGAATGCATTCTCTTTTTCTCTTAGTCTCTTTTTTTTTTTTTTTTTGCCTTGGATTATTCAGGGAAGAGCATTATCCAGGCCTCTTTTTCAAAGACAGAGGTAAGTTTTATGAAGGTGAGATTTGAGCTGGGTCTATCCAGATCTTACCTTCCACTCCTTGGTAGGAGGGCGATGGTATCTTGGGGATGCTCTCCTAGAAGGTACACTTTTAAGTGTGGTAGCTTACTGTCCCTCCAGGAAGAACAACTCATTTGTTCCAAGGAGTGTTCCTCTTCACATGCTTAAGCCTTCAGGGCTACCCCTGGGACACACTCAAACATCTCTGAGAGTGACTTTCAGGTGTCCCTCTGACTGGCTTCATCTTTCCCAGGGTTCCTCCCTGCTCCCTGTTCTCCAATTCTATTACCATCGTGTGTCCTGAGCACAGCCTGCTCTCTGAGTCCTCGAGGCCATTCTATTTCAGGGCCCACATGCCCAACATTTTTGTATGCACGCAGGCCTTGCCTGATTATTGGAAGAACCAGAGGTGTCAATAAGCTGAAAACCTACAGATCGGGCGTCAAGTATTTTAGAGTGATGCGTTCTTGCCAACAGACTTTAATAAGATGCACTCTATCCTTTGGTCTTCTCAAACATACCCTCAATGCAACAGATAAAAAGCAATATGCAAATCTCTAGGTTTTGACAAAATAACAAAGACAACTAAATTTAAACACTATTGTATTTGGGCTAGGTGGTCAGTTAATAGATGAGGATATGGGGATGAGAATTTAAGATAAGAGGTATATTCAGTTTTGGCTGGGTGTGGTGGTGCGTTCCTGAAATCTCAGTTCTCAGGAGGCTGAGGAAGGCAGATGGCAGGTTCCAGGCCATCCTAGACTACATTATGACACTCTGTCTTTAAAAAAATGTATATAATTCACTGGTTATTATATATTTGCTCCAGAATGTTTTCCTTATCTCTATTCAGCAAAATTATTAAATATCAATAAAATTAAGAGTTAAAGATTTATTTGTGAGCCGGGTAGTGGTTGTGGTGGTGGTGGTGGCGGCGGCGGCGGCGGCGGCGGCGGCGGCAGCAGCAGCAGCAGCAGCGCTCGCCTTTAATCCCAGCACTCAGGAGGCAGAGCCAGGTAGATCTCTGTGAGTTCAAGGCCAGCCTGGGCTACCAAG